CCCCCCCCCGGCTCTCAGCCCAGATAACCCCTCCCTCCTTGGGAGCCCCCCCGGGGCAGGCTCCACAGGCAGGCAGGGGGGCTGGGATTGTCTGCAGTGGGGGTGCTCGGAGCCGCTGAACCTGGAACTGATGGAGACCACCCCAAGCTGGGGGTGCGGCAGCCCCCCAGTTCCAGCACCGCTGTCCTCGGGGCCTGACCCCTCCTGGCCTGGAGCTCAGAACTGACAAGCAGCTGTGGGGGGCTGGGGCCCCTCTGGGCAGCCCCTGGCCGGGGACCGTCCCCTAGAGCGGAGCTGCCTCCGGCTGGGTCTCTCCCACTGGGGCTCCTGCTCCCTCCAGGCCCTTGGGGGATTGTTCTGGGGGCTGGGACCCCTGGCCAGTGACATCCCCCGGGGCGCTCGCTGCCCTCGCCAGTGGGGTGAAGCCTGTCCCCCCCCCCCCCCGGACACCCCAGCCAGGGTCCAGGCTGCGTGTCCCTGGCATGGCTGCGCCGACCTCATTTCAGATCAGTCCTGGAGGAGCCGGGCGTGGAATGAAGCGTCCTTGCCCCATAGCCCAGCTGGGGAGTGACTCCCTTCCCCTGGGGGGAGCCGCTGTGGCTGGGGGGCAGGGGCTGAGGAAGGGAAGGCCCCCTCCAGGCTGGGAGCAGAGCCCAGTTCTGCAGGCCGCAGCTCTGGGCTGTGCTGGCGTCTGTCTCGGTGTTTTCGGATGCTCAATGCCCGCTGGCCGAGCTGTGATGAGAATGGCCCCCACAAGGCTCCTGTCGGGGTGTGCGTCATCACCCCAGATACTGGGCCGTGCCCTGGGGCACAGCCGCTCCCTCCCCCACTCGCTGCATCTCTCTGTTCCTGGTTCCTCTCCGCCCTCCTCACGTGGCCCCATCTCACCTCTGGCCTAGACCGGCACCTCCCGTCCCGCCTCAGCTGGGTGGGGCAGGGCCGTGGCCTGGAGTCTGGTCGCTCAGGGGCGACGGCGATTCCCCCCACACCCCACCGGGCGCTGTCTGGCTCCTTCGCTCCCAGCACCGGGGAGCTGGCTGGGACCCACTAGCTAGCAGGGCATGTGAGCTGGGAGAGGGGTCTGTGCTGTGGGGCTGGGGTCTGTCCTTGCTGGCTCAGCCCCATGGCGTGGGATCTCGGGGGCCCTGTCCATGGCTTGTGCCAGGGCCTGTGAGCGTGACGGGCTCTGACAAGCCAGGCCGTGCTAGAGCTGGTGGGGACGTAGGGCCTGGGAGCCGGGCCCGTCCTTTGGCTTGGGCTGGCCCCAGCTCTCCCCGAATCTCTCCCCAGAGGCCCCTGCTGGTGGGCGGGCTGCCATTCTGCGCCTTCCTGGAGACACACTGCCCCGTCGTCAGCGAGCCCTTCTACCCCACGCCCTGGTGCTTCGAGGGCCGGCTCCAGACCCTGCTCCGCTTCTTCCTCCAGTCCCGGCCCCAGGTCTCCTACCGCAGGTGCGTGCTGGGCTGGGCGAGTGGCTGGGGCGGCTGCTCCGTGACTCCCAGGCTGTGCCCATGGGGCGCTGCCCAGGCCCTTGCTGCCCGGGCCTCACTCCACCCTGTGCTCCCTGCCCAGCGAGTTGCTCCGCACAGCGGATGGAGGGCAGCTGCTGCTGGACTGGGCGGACAATGCCGAGAGCCAGCGGTACCCGGAGCCTGGCACACGCCCCACCGTCCTACTGCTGCCAGGCCTTACCAGCAACAGTCAGGCCACCTACATCCTGCACCTGGTGCAGCAGGCTTCCCGCGCGGGGTACAGGTGAGACGCTGCGGGGGAGCTGGGCCTGAGTGGGGGGCTGCAGGGACCCAGCCTCATGGTCAGCCCACGAGGGTCGGGCAGCGATGGGCATCTGGCTCAGTGCCAGTCTCTGAGGGGCATTGGGGCAGGGGGGTTGGTTGGGGGATGGGAGGGTTGTGGGGGAAGGGGGCAGGGAGCCTCACCCGTCTCCTCTCTCCCCAGGACTGTCGTTTTCAATAACCGAGGGTGCA